ATGTCTCATCTATACCAAATTTATCTCATAAGTTGGTCGCATAATTGGGAAAGTTGACTACAAAAAACTGTGCGGAAAATCAATTAATAATGAAGTTAAGAAAAATTACTGTGGAGTGAAATGACCATAAAATGAGTTAATGAAACTTGGCAACAGAGTCTGCTTGACCCATTTACAATACCAAAATGCCACCTTTCATTTGGAAACCATGTTCAAGTATTTTAAGTGAAGAAGAAGGGTGAAGACAAAAAAAGCTACAAATGTAGGAAAGATAACATCAAACAAGTTATACCCCCACCCAAAATCATTACACATTTCACTTATAGAATCAAATCGCCTCCCACCCTCTCTTCAATATCTTCTTCCAACATCTTCCCTTCTCTATTCTGATTGGTAGAAAAACACAACCAGGTTTTAACATTTCATTCACGCAAAAAGTTTTTTAGATCTTGTACCATCTGGCGTACATCTTGAATTGAAGCCTCACCTAAAACAGTTGTGTAGTTTTCCACTTCCTTAGCAACCAACAGTCATACAAAAATATTAGGTTTACGCCATTGATGAAATTTCCCAGGTTTTGCTTCTTTCCTGTTTTATATTATTACATGTCAATGGATGAAATCAACTGGAAGTCTCAGAGAAAATGTGTTCTACAGATTTGCTACAGTACAGAGAGACAAAAACAAAGGAGTTACATGATCCATTTCATAGCCGTAGGCAGCGGGGGTTCGGTGGGTTCGAACGAACCCCCGGTCAGGATTTCCCAAAATATCATTTTGGTGAAAGTTACCAGAAACATTAAATTACTGTGCTATTTGAAAACTACATATATGAGCAGTAAATGAATTGATATTTGTTATGGTGAACACGAGAGCCTTATTTTGTTAAAAACATGTCATAGTGAAGTTACACTTCCCTCAAAACGTTTGGCAACCTTAGGCACGGGGTGAGATTCAATTTTGGGAAGACCCCAGAGCATGAGATTTTACATTTAGAAATAACAATAATTTCGCACAATTAACTTAAAAGTTGCTTCTTCTCGACAAAACTTAACCCATCTTGGGCAATGGCTAAATCAGTCCTTTGCAGGAATTTTGTTTTAAGCCAGTTCTGGTCCAATACGAAGATATTGAAACTAGTTATTGAAAACAATGCAGACGTCCCATACTCCGAATGATTTTTACAACATTGACGAATAAATATCTGGAAAAGTCGTAATATTGTTGAAACACATGTTCTTTCAAATGTGTACATCACTGTTTTGTTTTATTTCAATTGAAATTTAAAATATTTCTTGGGACGTCCCTGGGGCTGGCGTAGTCCCCGACACCAATTCGTTAAATAATTAAAAACGTTGTGAAATTAATTATTTAAAAGCGTATATCATTTATAAACGCAAGCATTTGTTCAAATTTATTCATTCTTTCAATTGTTCAGTATTTATTTACCCATCACCTTCGATTCCAAAGAAAAATCAATCTTTGCAAAAAATGATTTTGTGTTTTCTGATACACTCCACTCATCTAAGAGATTGTATAGAATTCAAATTGTTATCGTTCCAGTTTACTTGCTCTCCGTTTTCATGTTAATGTCATGATATGTTTAGCAAATAAATTACATAATAAAAACCATTGAAAATCATATGGTATTAATCTTCAAATAATGAAAGCGTTATTTGTTATCAAGCCGTCTGAACTTAACAAAATACGTTTTATATTCGAACAGTCGCTTGTATTTATATATGATTTATATCCACCAAAACGTTTTTATTATCAGTTGCAGTTAAAATATATTTTGATGCAGAAAATTAATTGTAATAAGTTGTCTGAGTTTTTTGAACGTTGCCTAAAGTGAACATTTAAGTTAGAAAGCTACAAGGTCATTTTTGAAAATCGTTTTTACGTCCTGTGTTATTTCAATGGGAGAGGTTTCTTAATAAATCCTATTACTTTCCGACTTTGCTTAACGTAAATAAAGACATCATATTTGTTAAATAAAATTCAAATTCAATTGTCTACTTAATTTAATGAAGGTATTAATATGAATTATATTTCCCCTCCTTTTCTTTACAAATTATGCATATAAAATTGAAACTTAAAGATGCAATTAATACATAATCCAATGGGTTAGTTAGGATTGCCAAACTTTTGGAGGGAGTGTAAGCCTAATTGTACAAATTGCATTATTTGAGGAACCCTAATAAGGGGGGGGGGATTTGTGAATAACATAAAAATAGAACCCCCGGTCACCAAATCCTGGCTACGCCACTGCATTTCAAAAAGAGGCTGAAAGAAAATCACTTGATCCTGGGCGGTATAAAGTATGGGCATTATGGGAAGATGGGATCAAAAAAATGGGACAGAGTGATATGAAAAAATGGGACATACAGATCTAAGAAAATTGGTCTAACAAGTTTAGTGTGAAGAGTTAACCTCAAGTATAAAATCCAAACTTTAAGAAAAACAGAACAAAAAACATCCTGCACTCTTTCAAGAGTTATAAGCATTCTTCAATTTCACTTCTAAGACTCTACATGACTATGTTCATGGACCAACTACAACCAAATGTAAATAAATATACATAACATAGGGATAGAATTCAAACTTATCAAAAAAATCTGCGTATCTTGATTTTACTTGGATACAATTTCAGCAAAATTTATCTTTGTTCAATTGTTGATAATTTCATTTTAGCTGAATTACAAATGTATGTTTCTTGTCATGGTTGAAATCTACCTGCTATAGTATAGCAATGTAACCATGGTGATCAATTCCCAGGGTTCATCTGTCACTCAAACTATAGGATCTTTAAGTAAATTGTCTATCATTTCAATTTGATCATTATGCATTAGGTTTTCAGCCATCTATCTAAACCGAAGCGCAAACACACCACAGAAAAAACTGGTTCCAAATGAAAATGAATCACTAAAAGAAAAAGAATTAGAAAAAAGAGAATGAAAACATGATAAGATCTACAGCAACTGGTCAAGCAATCAATATAAATGATGATACAATACAAACATCACAAAGATAAGTGAAAAATAAACACACTTGGCCAATCTATAAAGATCTCATAAAGAATGAGAAATGGAAAATTGTAGAAAGGGTAACCTTGGACTACCTTCCCCCTAAGATAATATCCATAAATAAACCTTAAAAACTGGGAAATGGTCTGAACAGATCTGAGAAACATCTTAAGAACATCTGATTACAATTCAAGACTACAAACCACACGTTTAAACGTCAATGAAGCATTTTTAGACAAATAGAAAAACACCATGCCCCATCAATTCTGCCATAAACAGGAAAGTAAAGTGTAAGCAAACACGAGGTGAAATATATTCTCATACATGTACTATGTAAGCTAATATGAGATTAGAAAATAGAATTTTTCCAGTTTAATGACTGAATTTGAATAATTCTGCTGAATTTTGCTCATAGAATAGAATATCCCATAATTCATGCAAGCTCACATATAACATCGATCCAATCTTAAACTGATTTCAAAGGGGAAGAACCTAATTCCAATTAACTAGCAACTAACCCAATATTCTTAATATAGGTTTCTGATGTCAAAACAATTACTGACATTTTTTTGATTATCTCAAATTAAATCGCTCCGGTTGGTCAGTTTTCGTAATTCTTTTTTAAATGTTGCTAGGCTAGATTATATTGTGCCATATAAGGAATAAGGTGTTTCTCCGAGAAAACAACATCACTTTATAGCAAAAAATGAAACATTTTTTCACATCATTCATTTCTTGTATTCTTCAGCCAGGATTAGGATAAAGCACAATTTGAGAAACATTATACATATTGCTATTCATGTGCATATCAACGTGGCCCCGAACCTGGATGATTATTATGAAAGCATTCCCATGTACTGATATAATTAATTATTGATTGATCTAAATGTAGAAATCTTAACATTTTTCTATTCAATAGAGCAAATCAAATCATTCTACGTTTGTAGGAATGTTATAAAATCTAACTGTAAACCAGTAAAATAAGCTGCAAAACAGAGTCATTAACACAAACACCCCAGCATTAAATATGTTAGGGTATAAATCGTAGATTCTTCAGAAATTTGGCAAACCGATCTTTCAATATGTAGCCTACAATCTGTAATTTTTATGAAGAATCACCATAATTGACCTTAATTTCTGGCAATATGACAGTTAACTCATGAACCTTAGAGTCTTCAAATGTTTCGGGAATACTTTGATTAGCAAAACGTATTCTATAAACACACAAATCTAGAGATGGCCCTCACAAAAAATGTCAGCATGTAAATAATACAAATATGCTTTTTTCTCCATAAACCTAAAAACTGTTGGAATAATGAACTCCCTTACTAGATGACCCTTACGAATAATTTGTATGCAACCAGTCTTCGCCTTTTTCATTCTTTTCCCATGAAATAAACATGAAAATATGAAATTATCGTCCAGAGCAAAGATACTCCTAATTGGCACCATCTTACTTAGGTTTGTTTTGACTTCCCCAATCTGTATCTAGATTTAGCTAAAAATTAGTGTGGAATTATAATAGTGCAGGAATGCTTCAATGATATCTGCTAGGGTACAGGGATTGGTATCAACAATTTCTAGAAATAGAAACAAAACAGTGCTACTAACAACTGATGGATCATAAATGATGGGATTTATTACTCTAATGACAATAGGTCCCCCAGGATCTAGGTCCCCAAATGGCTTCTTGTATATCATTCAATGTTCCATTCATTCTCAAATGTGTGATGATGTACTTGTTCTCATGTAGTGTTTATTCCTCTTCTATATATGTGTGAATGAATGGTTGATTTAATTTTCATGCCATATCACTTCATATCATAATCTACCACAATATGGATAGTATAGAAGCAAACATCATATTAGGATTGATATAAAGATTTGGAAAATCTCAAAATGTTCTTGCTCAGGAAAAAAGTTAATGAATTTTCAATACAAATATGGACATTATTGCCTTATAAGGGATGCTTACCTCTGTGTCTTTGTGTTGCTTTGTCAAACATCAGCATTGCATCTTCAATCTGAAATCACAAAAGACAATTGGTTAATAAAAGCAGACGGATTTCAATCATGACAAGAAAGACACTCAATTATTAATTGAATGACAAGAAACACACATCCTATTATCAACAGTCACTGTGTATGTTCTTATTAAAAAAATTGCCTAGTTTAGTATCTCATTCCCTATTCTGTAAATAACTATTGATGAACATTTCACGAACCAAACAAAAGATCATGACAAGAATCATAAACCCTAAAATGAAGCCTTCTTTCAAAAGACTATAGGAATATAGTGCCCAATACATGCAGAATACAGTTCAGTATGTATCCTATATAACTTACAGAAACAAAGAGGGCTTAGTTAATCTTCATTTTGGCTTAACGAGTACACATTGACTTTTTGTTTCTTCTTAATTTCATGAACCGCGATTTATTGCCGTTAGAATTTTCTGATGAATTAATTCATAATACAATATGGGTTCTTCCCTATGTGCTTTAAGACCTAAACACTTAAATAAATCCCCATTTTGTCGTGTTAATAGCTTTTTCATTCTAGCTCAATTATTTTATAGGATTTTCTTGCCTCTTTTTATGCACGCCACTAAACTATGGTAATATTGGCATCAACAGTTCACGTCCCCAATCTATGAAATATTGCGATTCCAAAACTCAAACTACAGCAAGACCCGTCTCATCAGAACAGCACTGAAGCAAGCCAAAAGTGTTCAGATTGGCAAGTGTTCACATTTCAGTTTTTTAACATGAAGGCTATGGCAGATTTTAAAATTAAACCAAAAAAATGTTCAGATTAAGAGGTATTCAAATAAAAGAGGTGTTCGGCTCTATATAGGTTTTACTGTATGTCAAAGAAACTTGATGAGGAGATAGTAACATAGTAACTTTAGGATAATGGAACGCAACTCCTATTCTGTAGCATTGTTCAACCCAAATTTTCGAGATTTATCAAATGGTTCTCCAGACTGACACATATTGCATGACATACTAGCATAATCACATGCCATATTGATTCGCATCATTCCAAGATTTGATTTGAAATTTTACAGATCTTAGACAATTAATCGATTAATGATATCAGGTCTTATGCAGCTAATAATCTATTTGCCATTAACAATAACATGCATAAGAACCAGTATAATTGCCTTTTAATTAAAAAGTCATTAGAACTGTATTGTTAGGATCTTATGAAGGGTAAGCTTAAAGATGATACTTTGGATTTATTTTATAATTGGAGCTAAATCGTTGAATGAGTGTAACTAGGCAGAAGCTCATCCTCTTTATATTTTGAAACCTGTTTCTCTCTGATATCCCAATCGTCCAATAGCTTCCATTGAAATAACGAAGTCAATTAGAAATCAGTTGTCTATTTTCTTATTACGACAATTTCACGGGGTCTTAATCGCTAAAATTGAGGCGATCAATCAGCTTGGAGGAGTCCACTGCGATCATATAAAGATAACGCGATTAAATCACAGAGAAGCCATCATGAAACTCAGAATACATCCCTGAGGAATAGCTCTATAGGATTAATAAATAGGAGTTTTTGTTTTGTTATATTACATAATCTTCTTTTGTTATGACCCATAACATTTTCTTTTATTGTAATGTAACACAAGAGGGCCTGTGTGTATCCCATGATGCAACTGTACAATGCGTATCTTTGTATTGATTTACTCCAGTTCCAACTTGTATTATGGTTTAAGAACTCAGAACATTTTCTTTACTACCAATCCAATGCAAAGCCCCAGAATAGGCTCAAACTGAGCCAATGCCATGCCTGCAATACTCGAGACTACAATACACATTTTTGGTCTATGATCATAAGGTTTTTTCAACCTATAACTTTTTTAAAATGTGATTCAATAGGTAAGAATGCACTACAGAGTTTGTAGTTTATGATTATGATCAGGGGGTAAATTCATTCAATGAAGGCGCAGAATCAATTCAAATCCGACTGCTTTAGATTTATCTTCAAATGGGTGATAACATGTCAGTAAAAACATTGTACCCTTTAGCGCTTTTTACTCCATCGCAAAGAAGGTCAAGATAAGTGAATGAACCTTTATTGAAATCATTCATCAAAAGCAGTCAATGAAACTATAAACAAGTATAGATAACAATAAAAATATATGCGTTGGAGGATACATTCTGATACAATTGTTTTCTTTCAACTGAGTGCTCAAGAAAAATTTTATCTGACAAGCATGACCTTCACGAATGATTTATATGAAATCGGTAATATCTCATGTTATTAGAATAGCTTACTTGAGACAAAAGCGTACATAGGGCTGGGAGGGGGTATAACTCCAGACTGATTTATTTACAATTATTATAACATAAGATGGGGTAGAAAGTAGGACGTAAATTAATCAATTTCAATCTAATATGTAATAATAATATGAATGTATATTTGAGTTTTGCGTAGCGGTTGGTAAAACCCCATATTTGGTAAGTACAATAAAGTCAAAGAACAGTATAAGACAACAAAATAATATATCTCATGTTCTCGTATTTCTATTTTCTTTTTTTTCAGAGTAAGAAACATGCAGCATTTTACAATAAATGATTTATGACGTCATAAAAGACTGAATGATTTATGACATTAGAAACAAGACATGACAGAGATGTATCACTCTGCTTAAATTAATTAACGAACTTAATCTCGTTTCTAAACATTCAATACTGGTTACAAGCTACAATTGTGCCGTTTTATTCACATAAGAATAAATTTCATTGAGTTATTTATATATTTCAAGAGGACACTTAATTGAAATTGAATTGTCATTTCACTGTATAACTTTTAATTAAACTATCAGATTCAAATCTTAAATTGTTCTTGAAATTTAATTTAATCCACGCGCCACTATGTGACATATCCTAACAAATAAATCATCACAAATTAATTACCCATCAGCCACTCTGTCAGTAATCAGTAGACCACGCAAAATATTTTGCTTAGATTATAATACAAATTTTACTTTCATTAAATTATGAACTATCCAGATTTTATTTTATTTTTTATTTTATTCTTTTTATTTTCACTTTCACCAATGATCATCATTTCACGTGACAAATGCAGCACTGTATTGCATAAATATATAAGGTAATCTATTTTAGGCATCCCATATTAGGTCGTAACTACCTAATTTCAGCGCTTCACATGCAATATTTCTTGAGGGTGACTCACCACATCTCAAATTAAGAAGATCCTGATTTTCGATTCCTGATTTTTGCGAAGGGATGATATCTAAATGTCACCAGTTGCAGATGGTGAATTAATCTCAATTAAGGGGAGGGGGTAAATGATGATTTTGTCAGTGAGGAGTATTAATTTTTGTTATCTTCAAGTGAATAACACTTCCACATTTTCAAAATTAATTGTATATGAGGGGGTTGAGGGTAATTCAGATATAGATATATTTTACAATGAAATGAAGCTACATAGTCAATCTGCAACAGTACCATGCGGTGCCATGTTGGCTATGGTAATGTAGACTAAAACAGTACCATATGGTACCATTAACATTGTACAGTACCATACTCGAAAAGTACTGTAAACGATACTGAAGTGATTCCAGAGTGTGGATTGGGGGTATATTGTTAAAAAGATAAGTTACGTTTTTGCTATAGCTGTCAACATTTGCTACCATCCCTTACACTTTAAGAGATCAGTTGAATTAGTGAATGGCAAGCATCCTTGCGTAATTATAAAAATCTGTAGTATTCCTAGAATACGCAAGATGTACTTTATTCCCATATATGGATTTTATACTCGGTGGGGTTAATTAAGCAGTAAAACAGTGCACTTTTTAATGTGTCTTTATGAATTATTCAACTCTCCTTCAGATCTATCAAAGTCTTCAATGTTCCCTGGTGTATGCAATGTTCTAATGTTATATCGCTCATGCTTAAGGTAGACAGGATGCAAGAACTTTGGGACATATCTGTGCATGGTAGCGAAAAGGTTAAGGTAAATTAGTAAATTATTTATTCAATTTGGTCCATCTTAAACATACTTCGTCCACTTAAAGTATATGTGCTCTATCTTGAGACATTTTGGTCTACACACATAGCCTACTTTATGACATACACTTGTCTACCTTTAGATTTATACCATGGGGTATATTTATAGTAAATACAGGATTCATCCCTATGTAAAGGGCACTGCTGAAGGGAAAAGGGGTGAAAACCTCAGAAAGAACCATGTGAAGATGGACCTATATGAATTCTTAGGCATTTCCGCCTAATGCTGAAGGACCATCCAATAAGATAATTATCTATTTTTTTCAATGTGTAATCTACTCGATTAATAATATTATTTTCTTGCTTTGAATTAATATTTCATGTCTCAGGGAAACAGTCTATTTATCTGCCAAACGGGAAGATTTTCTGATGGCGCCTTCATTTGGGCACCTGCCAATTAAATATTAATTTTTTCTTGCACCGAGTCAGAAACACGGAACAAAATCAAGTCTATGTTCTGAAGAATATAACATCACCAATATGTAACACTAATTCTTTGAGAACAATGAATTTTAGAGGAATAACTGGAATATCTGCAAGGACATTCTGTTAATTATTCATCCTCCCTCTCAAGAGACCATTACTTGATCTAGCCGTTCAGGTCATCAGCACCTTTTCGTAAAAAAGGATTTCTTAGAGTAGTAAAAAGCACGCAGGGAAAAATAAATGTCTGATTCTATCAAAATCAATTCTCTTCTGGCAGAAAATATTCATCTTTTCCGCAGAGATGTCATTTATACCCCAGCGTAATTAAATATATTTGATCTTGTTTAATCAAGTTTCAACTCAGAGTTGTATTTTTTGGTACACTAAGTACAATTTGGTAATACAACGCAAAAGCTGATTTTTAATCATCTGTACAATTCCATCTTGTATGCTGCTGATTAGCGAAGCAAGAAATTGGCACAGAAGTTAATATCAAGAACTATAAATAAACAACGCCAAATAGGGGTAATGTTAAATATAAACATGAAGAGTG